TACCCACCTTCATTTTTGTTGTTACAGCAAACTATTCCATGTTCGGCCTGTCACACAAACAGATGTATATAGAGCAGATGCCAAGGATATTCCCAGGATTTTCCAGGTACTGATAGCAAAAACTAAGGGGTGGTGGGAGATGAGGGGCCATGGCATCTTGCATGAAGAGTCAACTGTGTGCTGTCCTTCTGCTTGTATTTAAATTAGGTCCTGTCGTTTCTGTCTTTTCAAATACATTCCAAAGCATAGCACATGTGGTGCTTCTGACAAGGTCTATCATATCAGTTCAGAAACTATTGACATTACCATGCTGCAACTAAAATAAGATAAATGAATACAAATATTGATTTAATTTTTAAAAATAAAGGTATTCATGGGTTGAGTCAGAGTAGAGATTAAAGAAACATTTGCAAGTGTCTAAGCCATCGGTTAAAATGTGGTTTCCCACATTTTCCCCTCTTTCACAGAAAAGTATAGCTTTGGAAAACATTTAGATATATGTAGTACTTTCTTATCAAAGCTGAACGTTCTTTACTACTTTAACATAAAATGCCATCATAACTTAGCTTGTAAATTGCGATGTTTGGCATTCTTGTGAAATTTTCACACCAGTCTTATACATCTTTATGCAGACATAAAACTCTCTGTGGAAGAAATCCAGTGTGGCAGGTACCTGGATTTTACTACCCTCTTTTCTGCCCTTCTGATGCCCAATGTGTGAGCAGGATCTCCAAGCCCTGCAGATCAAATATGAAAAGCATATCTGATCTGGGAGGGAGGAAGGGTTTTCTCCCAGCAGAAAATATTTTGAATGGTATTCCCCCTAGTGCCCCACTAAATGCCGAGTTTTTTTCCCCATCAGGGAAAAAAGTATTTGAAAATAAAAATGGGGTGGGCAAAATCCCTTGGGAAAAAATCACCTGTGCCTTTGTATCTTCAGGGTATATGTATTTTGTTCCCTCCCCACCAAATTAAACTGTTATGCCCAAGATTTCCATGAAGTATTTTGCATTGTTGGAGTTGCAAGTAGATCTTCCATTGCAAAGGGTGGAAAGCAGTGGATAAGCTGATGCGTCTTTTGTTTGTTTTTAGTTTGATGCTCAAGAGAGCATCTATCCTGTATGACTGGAAATGCAAGCTAGTCTGGTCCCATCAGTTGAACATTGTTTATCTCACTTCATCTGATATTTCCATATAGAAGAAACATTTTCTTGGGACCTGCATAGCAAAAATCTAGAACATGTATCCCTGGGCCAAGCCAAAATTATTAAAACAATAGCATGGTTCAAGCTGTCAAATATTACCCTTCATCTACATCAGTGCTTCTCAACTTTGCATGCCCAGATGTTCTTGGACTACAGATCCCAGAAATCTTAGCACTAGGACAGCTAGTGGTGAAGGCTTCTGGGAGTTTTAGTCCAAGAACATCTGGGAACCCAAGGTTGGTGTATTTAGTCCTATAAACTTTCTCTAACTTGTAGACGACTTGTACCTCAAGCCTGTTTATCATTTCTCCTTGTTTCTCATTGCCTTTGGTTGCTATTTCTCTTCAAGTGGGTACAGTCACATGCATTTCCTTTGAGAAATAGGCCTTGTGGGTCATAAGATCATGCCACTGTTCTGTTTTGATTCCAGATTCTATATGATAATGAAGGTGAAAGCAAGAAGGAACAGGAATTTCCTGTAGAATCAGCAGGGGAAAAATCAAACTATATTTGCCACAAGGGACATGAATTCATACCTACACTTTATCACTTTCCAACCAACTGTGAGGCATGTATGAAGCCCTTGTGGCACATGTTTAAACCTCCTCCTGCACTGGAATGCCGCCGCTGCCACATCAAATGCCATAAAGATCATATGGATAGAAAAGAAGAAATTATAGCGCCTTGCAAAGGTACCTAGCAAAAAAAAAAAAAAAAATCTGTGAAGAATGCTAGTTTGGTGCCCACATGAGCACCCTCCCGCTCCTTTGTGCATGCGCCTGAGCGTGAGGGGGTGCCCCGCTTTCCTAGCCATTCCGCAGGTTTAAAAAGGTTGGGGACCCTTGCTCTAGACCATCATGTACGTAGCTTATTTTGTTATTGGCATGCTCCTATGGTTGCATTGTGTCACATGCTGACAAGATGAAAAATCGTAACCAAGTTATGGTGCTGCTTTCACCAACAGAGATTCTCTGATACTTGGACCAGGGGTTCTTGAAAATTGCTCAGTTTTCACAAGATGTGCCACATGGGTAGGAAATAGATAGGTCTGTGTATTTTTCAGCTAAGCGGAATGAGAAGTCACAATGTGCATCCTCCTGACTTGCTGATCTGTAATGTGTGTTTCAGTGAACTATGATATATCAACCGCAAAGAATCTTCTGCTGTTAGCCGGTTCTACAGAGGATCAACAGAAATGGGTGAGCCGTCTGGGGAAGCGGATTCCCAAAAAGCCTCCAGCACCAGATCCTTTTGCACGGTCTTCCCCAAGAACTTCCATGAAGGTACAGCCAAACCAGTCTATGAGACGGCCAAGCAAACAGCTTCCTCCAAATAAAAAAGAAGGCTTTCCTCCAAGGTAAAAAGAAAACAAAAACATGTTACAATGTTTTGTGGGAACTTGTTTATGACTGGTGGAAATGGTTAAAGTCGATGGTGGGTTGTAGTGGTGGTTTTTACAAATAGTTAAAACAAGGTAATTTTTGAAATAATTAGACTGGATATTTCCCTTTTAAAAATTCTAAATATTTCTTTGAATGTTTCAGAAGTGTTACGTTCACCTACATTAGTAATTTATTATTTTTGCCACCATGCATAGAGCGACCTGTTTTAAGACATCTTTATTCAGTTATAATTGATTCTTCTTTTTCTGATTTATTTTGCAACTGTTTAGTAATGAGAGAAACATGGTCTATCACAGGATATATGTTGTATCCTACAATGCACATTGTAGAAGCTGGGATATTCGGACTTCCTGTAAGTCAAGGGTAGTTTTAGTAGCAAAACAATAATTATTGGCTTAGAACCGATTGCTAGTCCCAACAAAAACAGATCCCTTGAATTAATGGGTTCTTCTTTTAGCCTGTACCGAAACATTCTGCAGTTGCTGCTTCATTAGCGCTACTGTAGTTAGAACAGTTTAGGCTATTATTTTGGTCCTTGTGTTTCTGCTTGGCGGGGTGACGTATAGTCCTGGGTTCACCTCTGGACCCCAAGGTCGTTTTGCAGGCCCCAGCCCAGTCAGACCTATCCCACCTGCCACCCCCAAAATGGTTTTGCTTGGAAAGCTAAAAAAGGCTGCTCCCTTTAGCCTGCAGGAACACACATCCACTTTTAAGGTCACAGGCTCCCCTGCAGCGTTTTAGCATAACAACAATTTTTCAGAAACAGATGTTGCTTCCTCAACATTATCCGTTTTGCCGTTTCCCCTACTTTTCCTTTATTTTTGTATTTTTGGGGGGTCTCTGCGGACATTGGAGGATCCCAAGGGAAGAAAATAGTTCCCTAAACCTTCCAAAGATACCCGTCTCTACTTTAGTAGAAGCAGTGAAACAAAAGAATACTTTTTAATGTTTTATTTCTCTTCTACATCAATTAGCGGCATGTCTCTTTTGATTGCTTCCTATTAAAATATTGCCATCTGAACATTGGAGGTCAGACCTCACTGTATTTCAAAGTCTGGAGAGATCAGATGGGCCAGATTTAAATTATGTATTGATGGGCCAAATTTAAATGATATACTAGAATCTGCCATTTCGGGTTCAGATAATTCCAATATGCAGCGTTTCTCTGTGGTGGGAGGAATGAAAGAAACCATTCTGATGGTTTTGTATGGTAAGAATAGGAAAGCTGGCTTGTTTTTTCAAACAAACAAACAAACAAACAAACCATAATAGACTTTTATTGCTAAATTCAGTTGTTAGCCTTTGGTGCTTTGTACTTTAGACTGCTCTTCAGTTGTGCATAACTCACCATATTACATCATTAAGGATGTAGCTTATAGGTGACATTACAGTTCCTCCTTGAGCTTACGAAGCTCAGCTAACGAATTCTAGCTCGCAGCCTGAGAAGACATTGAATCCTTTGCTGTTAAGCATTTTGTGAGTCACCTCATTGTATTTCGTTTTATTTTATTTCTAGCTCTGGGCCTGTCCTTCGAATTATTCTTCACTGAGTTGTGTTTTTTCTGTACCATGTTGCTTTTTTAGTATTTCAACAGTAAGTAATAGGGACATGTGCCTGTAGCACATTAATTGTGAAAACTAACCATGAGAACTCTGCTAAATGACAATATCTTTGATAGACATCTGTGTAAAAGTTAGTGGTTTAGATAATTAATTCATGTGAACAATATAAGATACTTTAACATTTAAAAAGGATTTTTCAGTTTTATAATCCTATCACATTTAACTTGCACTCTGTTGTAGATAGGTTTTTTATTAAGTCATTATACAATATTGTCATTTAACAACATACCACATTTTTCATGTGTCCAACATGGCATGAAAAGCAGGTTTTGTGCATTTCACGCTTTTCCCTGTTTGTCATTTGTTGCATATAAAATAACATTGCAGGGATATAGATAAAATATTGAATACAAAAGACTGTCCATAATGTATATGTAATATTCTTATTCAATCTAAAATGAGTTAACTGTGCTTTTAAATCCCATAGAAAACAGAGGATCCCACAAGACACACAAAACGATATGTCTGCTTTTCCAGTGACTACTTTTTTCTTGATCAGGTTCCATAATCCTGATACAAAGAATGTAATGGAAACTTTTCCAGTAAAAAATAGATCCAGTGTTAAATTTAATATTGTTTACTTGGCTTTTACGTTAGACCGGAGTATTTTTGATAAATTCTTTGTAAAGAAAAGCACTTCATATTAATTATTGTGAGCAAATCTAACTAAATTTTGATATATAAATGAAGGTTGCTATATTAAATATTTCACTGGGTAGATGAAGACAGAATAAATGAATTTAGATTTTAGGATTTTATATTTGGAATAGGAGGAAGCAGTATTTCTGTCAAAGAAGCGATCATCTTTAGATTTTCAAAATAATATTTTGCTTCCAGTGTGTCTCTGTGTGGCTTTTTTATGTTCAGCATTTCAGTTATTTTTCCATGCTTAAAGTGTTCATGTGTAGAATACTGTGTACAAAATGAACAGAGATCCCCCTCCAATAAACTAACTTGTGCAGTATAACACACTAGTAATTGAGTGGAGGAATTAAAAATTATATGAGCTGAGCGGATAGAAAGAGGGGGGAGAAAGCTGCAAGTGGTAGAAGCTATACCTCCTGTATATTAAAACCTATACAGGAGGAATGCAGATATTTGCTGCTGTTAGTGTTCTACTCATAAACTACTAGTTTTTGAGATGGCTTCACTTTTAGAAGTGTCTGTGTTCCCTGCCTATCTCAGGAACTTTCAAACTTTCGGCATTCACTTTTAAGCTTGTCACCTAAAAAATCGTAGAACAGGTAACTGGTGTGCCTAAAGACCAATGTAGACCCCATGTAGTTACTTACATGTGGTTATAACTCAACTTATTTGTCATTATCCATTCTAGATTTATTTCCTGTGTTTAAAATGTTATAAGAGGCAATAGATTGCATTTGTCTTTGCAATACTATGGACATCACTTACCTATAATTGCTCAGCTTTGTCTTGTGGTTTTGTGGGTTGCTGCCTGGTTCATTAGATCACCTGAAGACGTTGGTTGCAGTCCACTAGACTACCTTATGACCAATGAAACAGGTTGGTCTGTAAGGGGCTGCGAGACTCATCATTTTTTCCTGCAACCAATTAACATGACAGACTCCCAATCCCATGGAATTTTCAATAAAACTAGTGGGTCAGATCAGATCAGCTCTTTACCGTGACACTCTATTGACCTTCCTTGTTTCTAACAATCAACTGTGATTCCACTCCTGACTTTGATATTTATTTGTAAAATATTGCACATTCAGTTAATATGGATCTAGTTGGAAGGGGGGGGTATTTGATTTCAATACCATGAAGATTTTACGGTTTCAGAAGCAAAGTTTAGGAAGTAAAACGACTGCATGTGAGCCTTTTTCTCCCATTTGTTGATTTTTTTTACATGGGGTACTTGTTCATAACATATTTTTTCTTTTTGATATCTTTGGCTTTGCAGGAATGTGTTATGTTAGGTTCATCCTCATCCTGTTTGATAGGACTCAGTTTTTTGCTTTTAGCACAATTTCTAAAATCGGACACCAATAATTAAGCAATAACATAAACCCATCAAGACTAAACCTGATTGTTAGTCCCAACTAGTGTAAACCCATTGATTGACTGGGACTTGTTTTTTCAACACTTATATGTGTGTTGTCATATTCATGGGTCTGCTCTAGGTGGGGCTAACAGTTTGGTTTAGCCCATTGTACATATCTTGATTTTTTTTAAAGTCCTTGTGAAGCACTGCTACACCTTTCCACAGTTGTCCAGATAATTGGTAAGAATTTGCTGTAGAAGAAAATCGCAGAAGTGGTAACTGTACAGTGTTAAGAGTTTAATCTGTTGTGAATCTTTTGACCAGTTAAAAAGGAGGCTCTGCAGCATACACAGAGAAATCCCTGACTTTTCTATGCAGTTGTAACCCACCCAGAGTAGTGCTGTGACACTAATGGGAGCAAGATAGATAGATAGATAGATAGATAGATAGATAGATAGATAGATAGATAGATAGATAGATAGATAGATAGATAGATAGATCGATCGATCGATCGATCGATCGATCGATCGATCGATCGATAGGTGGGAAAGCGCAGAAGGTGGTGTATGTCTCATTGAACTGTTGAGCAGATACAGGCAGCTCTCCACCATTCATCCCACTTCTTCGTGATCATCAACCTCACATCCCTCTCTGATCTATCTGGCACACACAGAGGCCTTTCTCAGAAGGCAGGGTGATATTCATACTCTGCCTCATCAAGCAGAAACTGTGTGAGAGTTGCTCTATTATGTGTGCCTGTCAACTGAGGGAAGAAAATGGAAGGAAGTTGTAAACAAAACTTATATTGAAACATACTCATCTAGTGCCAGATAGTCGTTTAGCACGTGTTAGGGACCACATGCAACCTGCCAAGACTATTTTGATTGTCTTCCTGGACAATCAAATTTGAAAAACAAATTTTGCACTAAGAAAGCAGATTCTTCTTTAAAGTGAATTTGTGTCATGTGGGGACTTTTTCTGTTGTTTCCTCAGAACCAAAGTAGACTGTTTACACCTTAAACCAATGTATCCTACTACACATTTATTATTAGGCTTTGATTTATTTACTTTGTTTTATATTATAGTATGGTAAAAGTGACATCTGATTTAAGATCTGATGTGTACAGTACAAACAACTTTGCAGATACTTGAAAACATAAATTGGTTTTTTTTTTCAAGAGGCATAGGAAAGATAAATAAATTTTATTGCAATGAAACTACGTGTGCTAATTTAGGGGTTTGCTTTACAATTCCCAGAATCCCCAGGCAGCTAATGTACAGGACTGCACACCTCTGATTGAATCATTTATTCACAACTGACAGATGGTTAGAAAGACATGGCTGACTAACAAAGCTTTGTCTGTAGGAAGATATCTTTCTAAAGCAAATTTCCTGAACTTTCAGGGAAGCTGGTGTTCCTTCCCACTCATCCTCAAACTTCAAAGGCATTCTAAAGTGCGGAAAAATGTTTTTCAAGTATACAAGTGGGAGGATATATGGATTCAAGTTCTTAAAGTATTTCAGTTTGTGCCACCAAATAAGCTCCCATGTTAAATGTGGTAGGAAGCATTCCATGCATATACACTAGTATGCTTTATTAGCCATGCACTTTTAAAATTCTGATATACAGGATGAGTAAAATACATAATTTGTGTATATTCTAGATTAGAGAGAGCAGCCCATATGATGCAAATAATGATGGCTCAGAGTGGGGGGATGTTGTTATAATTGTCATTTTAAGAATCATTTAAAGTGGACTTTGGCTCACAAACTTTAAAACCTCCCTTTACAGATTGATTGATATGGCATGTAAAGACTGGGATTGGTCATTTGATGATATTGATTTTGATATTGATTTTAATATTCATACGGAGAACGATAACGATCTTGATGATAGTGATGATGATAACATGTTTGTTCTGAAGAGGTAAATAGATATCCACAAGAGAATGGATTGGCTTTCCTAAAATGAAGCATGCTGTGTGCATTACCAATAGATGGAATGTGTAAGCTTAACATTCTCCAGACATAATTTTATGACTTAAAAAAACACACCAGGAAACGTTTTAATGATGCATGCTTCTGACTTTGAAGTAAACAGTAGTTCTGAAAATCCATGTTCCCATTTTTACATTGTTAACCTAGTGTAAATCCATATTTAAACAAGTGCTTTGTTGGGTTTTTAGATGTTTATGCAGACTCAGATGTGAGCAGCAACTTGTATCTTTTTCAAGTGTGATGCAACTTCTGTTTTGGTTGGCAACTTGTGCATTGCATTCCTGCAAAGGGTTCTGCAAGATCTAGAGATGATGTGGCTTTCTCTGCATTGGCGTGCCTTTAACAAAAAATTCTAACTGTTGATCCGAGTTGCTTTACAAATATGGCAAAGTGCAGATTTTTGCATCAGTTTTCGTAGATTGACACCACTTTGGATAGCAGAAAACAAAAGAATTCCAGTCTTCCCCTTACTCCACCACTTCTCCACATCTCATTGTTAAGGCAGACATTGTTTTAGTACGGTGGTTCCCAACCTGGAGTCCTCAGTTGTTCTTGACGTACAATTCCCAGAAATTTTGGCCAGCACAGCTAGTTGGTGAAAGTGTCTTGAAATTGTAGTCCGAGAAGATCTGGAGACCCAATGCTGGGAACCACTGCCTTAGTGATTCTGCAAACAGACTTGGCCCATAGGCCCTAAAGAGGATGTATTTGATATTACTAGTTGCAAAAGTGAAAACAATTAAATGCAGAAAGGGCAGTCTGTCCCACTCCTTTGGCGTCTGTGTTTACAGAGAAAAAGATGCTGGAGTGCATTGTTTCCTCTCTGTTACTCAATGTGTCTCACCCGCAGCCACCCTCCTGCCTGCTTTAAGAGGGCCATTGCACTATTACATGGGGTCAGGACATAAACGAGAGACACTTGTGACCCACACTGATCCCCATTTTCAAAAGCATTCTTGCATGATTCCTTCTGATAAAATATGGGTACGCCGGGTCTAATCTGTTTGGGAGGAGTGAAACAAGAAGCTTTTGCATATCTATGGAAATACCAAGAGACTCAGAGAAAGAAAGCAGTGCGACCCTTTGAAACCAGGACAGAAAGAACTGGATATGCCTGGTGCCCTCAGGCAATTATGGAAATACGCCAGGATGTGCAGAAAGCAAGAGGCAGGGAGGACCACTGTTGTGCCCGAAGCTCCTTTAATTTGGGAGAAGTAAATCAATTGCCACTTGCTTAAATGGGAGAAGGACAGCTTCAGGAAGGAACGCAGAACAGTTAGAGGATCTCCCTGACTTGTTAGTGTGTCTCAGGGTGGGTGCAATGGCCAGTGGGTTTGCCATGCTGTTCTTGGCTGGATATTGGTTTTCAGAGTCTGCTTTAAAATAGATATTCTATAGCTGTTACTGACCAATCTCTCTCTCTTTTTTTCCCTCCAGCTAACTGCCTTCTGTGAATGCAGTCACTGTTGAAGGTGATTTTCTTCCCACTGAAATAAGACTGAAACATCATATCCCAGAATTTTATGAAATATATATATATATGTTCCTGAAAGACAGTTATATATAAATATATATCAGACGTTTACAGGGAGGTGTGGTTTTTTTCCTGCAATATGACTTACTAATAATTCCTTACATGTGTCCTTTAATGTAGTCTCTCCAGCTAACCGATCAAATTAGGAATGGTTGGTGATAGCGCAAGGATCTTTTTAAACTCTGTTCCTTTGGGAAAACTCACACTACATTTCACAAAAGGAATAAAAGACATGGGAAAACATGAAGAATCTAGCATTTGTCCAGAAACGCCACCAGCAAGTTTGCCAGAAGAAGGGGATTGGGGATGAGAGGGAAGTGTCTCTCACACTGAAGACTGCATCTTAAAAAGTGACCATTATACTGTGTGTGCGTGTGCGCGTGCGTGTGTGTGTTATATGTTCTGGTGTGTAAATATGTATATTGTACTGTAATGCTGCAAGAGGGGTTTTTTTTAAAGAAAAACTTTCCACTTTATTTTTGTACATACTATTCATATATACCATGAGCTGCAGTTGCAACTATGCACTTGTGCAAAGCCATACTGTTGAAGTTTATATCATTCATACCCGTATATCAAAAGCTGCCTGTTCAGGCTCAGCCACTAAGTGCCACAGGAAGTTCCAAGTGTGACATGGAATGACACTCAGCTGCTGAGTCCAGGCATGCAACCCTCTGTTACCGGTCTTGACTGCCTTAAATTAATTTGGCTCCCTTAAAACTAGTTATCTGAGAGAAAGAAGATGGATGCAGTGGTTTGCTAGCTCTTAGGATGCAATTTTGCTTTGTGGCAGAACAATATAGTGCACTATGTTTACATATAGTAGTTTATATCAGTGTCTGTCTATTCTGAATGTATATCTAAGTATGTTTGGAAGGGGAGGGAGGGTCAGGAACTGTATTGATTTCAGAATCAGTGAACTGATAGTATTAGAACTAATATATAGCTTTCATACTTAGGCATAATTCTCCATCCAGCCCTTTGTGCAAACCTCAGTTATTAGTCACTGACTTTATATTGCCCTTACTAAGTGCTACAAAACTTCATTCTGCCTTTCTTTTTCTTTTGCATATTACCTTAGGTGTGTTTTTTTAATTTCTGAAAAAAATACAACTATTTTTACATTTTCACAGCACAATATCAAAGGACTGTCACAAACCCTTAATGACTGAAACATACGGTAGACGTATTTTTAACTTTTTGAATCCTGTTCTCTTAGCACTTAGCTTTAGGAATAGGAGAGATCATTTCAGTTGTGTGTGTTTGAGAACATAAAAGAGGAAAGGCCTTGGAGGCACTTAATCTGATTTTTTTTAAAAAAAGAAAGTTTAATTTTGTACAAAATATAATTTATGTGAGCTCATTCATGCCATGTGCATAATTTATCCCAGAAAATGCATGTTTTATACACCTACAGTATGCTATGATGTTAAAACATGATGGCAGTAAAAAAAGAAAAGAAATGTTGTATCTTCCTCCTTGGTCTCATTTTTCTTTTCTATGTATACATATATCTGTTGTGTGGTAATGCAACACAGAATCTAACATTGAAGTGAAGGGATGAGATAATTCACTGGGTTGTTTTCTTTAGCAACAGGAACTAAGTTTAGAAGGAAGGGGACCAAGAGTTCTCTGTCACAACCATGAGAATTGGACTTTTCAGTCACCAGAATCGCAGTAGAATCTAAGCCACCAAGCAGGATTCCTGGGCAATTCCCATTTACTCCAGGAACACCTCATTCTAAAGTAGGATTTGATCTCACCACACACTGGGATCTTCTGTTGTGCCAGCCCCATTGAAATGAATACAAATTCACTTCAGTAGGTAATAACATGATTGAAGATTTTAAGGGATTGGGCCCACAAGCACCTCTTCCATTAATACACTGTGATTTATACACTAGATCTTCAGTTATATTATTTATACATTGTTCTTAAAAAGTGAATAAAATAGAGCTGTGTATCCCATAATTTAAAATATACCTGATTTCATTTACCTTAAGCCCCAGTGGTGGAGCACAGAGTATTTAACACAGCAAGAAAGAGTCCAGCATATTTTTAAAAAAATGCATATTTTGCATACAAAGCTTATTGTTTAACCATGTATACAATAAAACTGTTTCCTTTCACTGAAGGCATACATATTTTATATAAAATTGTTATTTGTGGGAAGATCTGGATTGGAAGAAATATATATTTTTAAATAAACTATTTGAGTAAGATAAAATAATTATTGATGTTGGTAAGTGGATTTTTTTAAAAAATTAAAACATGCAAACACTTTACACAGACCTCTTATGATTCAGATTTACAAAGATGGCTGTTATATTATGGGTAATAGAGTATTTCTTTTTAAAATACAGGCAAAGTTCTTTAAAACTAGTGTTTCACAGCATCTTTTAAGTCACAAAGAAGTATCATATATTAATCTTTGTCAGTAGAAAGTTTTAGGCACCAAAGCACCTCTTTTCGAGAGAATAACATCAATGTAAAATCAGCAGAAAAGAAAGTCATTGATATACATTGATCAGCCATAAGATTAAAGCCACCTGCCTAATATCGTGTAGGTCCCCCTTGTGCTGCCAAAACAGCTTTGAGGCATGGACTCCACAAGACCTTTGAATTTGTCCTGTAGTATCTGGCACCAAGACATTAGAAGTAGATCCTTTAAGTCCTGCAAGTTGCAATGTAGAGCCTCTATGGATTGGGTTTGGTGTTCCTGCACATCCCATAGATGCTCCTCCATCAGATTGAGATATGGGGAATCTGGAGGCCCAGGCAACACCTTGAACTTTTCCATGTTCCTCAAAGCATTCCTGAACAATTTTTGCCATGTGGCAGGGTGCACTATCATTGTTGCAGAGAACACCGTTGCCATGAAGGGGTGGACATGATCTGCAACCATCTCTAAGGAGGTGATATGAGTCAAAGGAAAATCCACATGAATGCCTGGACCCAAGGTTTCCCAGCAGAACACTGCCCAGAGTGTAACACTGCCTCCACCGGCTGGCCTTCCCATATGGCATCCTGCTGCCATTTTTTCCTCAGATAAATGATGAATACAGACCTCGCCATCCACCTACTCTAAAAGGAAATCTGATTGATCAGACCAGGAAACCACCTCCCATTGCTCCATGGTCCAGTTCTGATGCTCACGTGCCCATTGTAGGTGCTTTTGGCGGTGGACGGGGGTCGTCCTGGGCACTCTGACTGGTCTGCTAGGCAGCCCCATGTACAGCAAACTGTGATGCATTGTGTGTCTTTGCTTTTGGCGGTGGACAGGGGTCGTCCAGGGCACTCTGACTGGTCTGCTCGGCAGCCCCATATACAGCAAACTGTGATGCATTGTGTGTCTTCGGACATCTTTACATCACGGCCTGCATTACGTTTTTCAGCATTTTGAACTACAGTAGCTTTTCTGTGACCAGACCAGACGGGATAGCCTTTGTTTCCCATGTGCATCAATGGGTCTTGCCCATCACGGCCTGCATTACATTTTTCAGCATTTTGAGCTACAGTAGCTTTTCTGTGTGACCAGACCAGATGGGATATCTTTTGTTTCCCATGTGCATCAATGGGTCTTGGGCACCTGTGACTCTGATGCCAGTTCACCAGTTGTCCTTCCATGAACCCCATTTGGTGTGCACTAACCACCGCGTGGCCAGTGTCACTGAAGCGACCAACATGAATTTGACCCAACTCTGGAAGGCAGTAGAAGACAGGAGGGCCTGGTGTGCTCTGGTCCATGGGGTCACGAAGAGTCGGACACAACTTAACGACTAAACAACGACACGGCATACCGGGATACCCCACGAGTCTTGCCATTTTGGAGATGCTGTGACCCAGTCATCTAGCCAACACATGAAAGGCAAGAACTGACTTCACTGGCTGCCTAATATATCCCACCCTTTGGCAGGTTCTGACACAGCATACCGGGATACCCCACGAGTCTTGCCATTTTGGAGATGCTGTGACCCAGTCATCTAGCCAACACATGAAAGGCAAGAACTGACTTCACTGGCTGCCTAATATATCCCACCCTTTGGCAGGTTCCAATGCAACAATATATTCAATGCTATTCACTTCAACTGTCAGTGGTTTGAATGTTGTGGCGATCATCAGTGTATGCAGGATTGAATATTGTGGCGATCATCAGTGTATGCAGGATTGATAATGAATGTAATCTAGGGTGGACACAAGATGGCCTCCCAGCACCTCCCCCATACACCCAAACTGTTAAACGTTTTGGGGAGAGCTTTTACAGTTGTCTCATCTTCTGAAGGGCCTCCAAGGGCTCCCCATCCCCCATAGTTTTGGGGGCAGGGATGTCACAGAAGCAGCCCTTCCAAGTCCAGATTTGGGTGTGTTTAAACCCCAGACCTTCTAGAGTTGCCAGTCCCTAATCGTGTCAGGAAATAAAAACACCAGAGACAGAAATCGGACCAGTAAAGAAAATTCAAAAGATGAGCCAAGTCCCTTTTCCTTATGAGTTGAGGCACAGTGTTCAAAACAATTCCACAGAACAGTCCTAGCCTGTAACCACAGGGACACGTTGGGAACAAATACCACTGGGTGCAGAGAGACTTCAGGCTTAGTAAGGTATAGGATTGGGAGGTGGGCGCCGGCACTGCATATCTTCTGCTGGCATCTTATCCCTGACTCCTTGAGAGATGTTTTGTTCCCCCTTAAGGCAGAGGTTAAAATTGTGCATCCTTGTTTTCCTGAAAAGGACAGATTTACCCCTGGAACCTCAGCAGCTGCCCATCCCACAATGAAGAATTACAGTGGTGCCTCACACAACAATGTTAATTGGTTCCAAAAAAATCAACGTTGTGTGAAACATCGTTCTGTGAAACACCATTTCTCATAGGAATGCATTGAAAACCGGTTAATCCGTTCCAATTGGAACGGATTGTCATCGTTCAGTGAAAATCCCCATAGGAAACATCGTTGAGTGAAACAATGTTTCCTATATTGGAATGTATTGAAGCCGACTCAATACATTTCAATGCCTTTGCGAAGTCCTTTTTCGCTCCTGTAAAAGTGTCTTACAATGTATTCCCTATGTGGAATGATGGCTGGGACCTAGTTCTAAACATTGGAGTTTGAAGGAAATGGGCTAGTGCACGTGGTCTTCAGTGTTCCTACCACTGGGACCTGAGGGATCCAATTCACAACCTTAATTCAACAGCCACTGTCAGATTAATCCACTGCACTGCTGTGACACCTGTATTTTCAGAGGCTTTTTAAAAACAGCATTGATTAGCATGAGGTTAGGTCCCCATCTTTACCACAGTCAATCAAGGTGAGCCCATGACATATTGCCACTTTCTAGTACACAAGCCATACATAAGTTTTGTGGTAATGATTTAAGGGGGCATGATTGCCTCCTTGTAAACAAGGTTTTATGTCCCTAATTTAGAGCAGCCACTCTTAACCAGCACACAGCTGACTTTTATAAGTATTTTTTTAAAAATCAAGATGTTGGGTTGTGAAATGTTGGTCCAGAGGGAAATGCAATCATAAAGCCAGTAAAGAGATACAGAGAGCCTACTACCTTTAAGAAGTTACATCAGGCCCCAGAGAAAAGTTAGCCACGCTTAAGACCTGGTGCAATCCACGAAACCTGAGAACAATTGTGTGTTTTTTTCTGGGGCACAGACACTGGGATGATCAATCAGAGAACACAGACTTCTAAAAAAGGCCTTGCTCTTCCCTACCACATGGGTCCATGAGTCGTGGCTGCTTGTACACAGCACATGATTCTGTTACAAACTGATTTCTCACTGTACTACTGGCTGGAAATGAAGACGCAAAAGTATCTAAAATGCTCATTAAGTATACTGCGGCCTCAGTATCCTTTGGGCAATACCTTTTGTGTAACAGATAACCAAGCTAGGAAAATGACAAATAAGAGTTAACAGGTATGCTGAGAATTTAATCAAGAACAGTTACTTGAACAAAACATTTTCAGTAGAGTTACAAGTATGCATACAGGCGTGCTAAATAATATAGCTCACCCATTAACTTTTTTTTTTTTATCAAAACAACATGCTCCCCAGGAGCAAGCATGGCAAAAGACTTGGGAGTTTGCTGTTCAGCTCCTATTGACAGGTGGTCTCCACTGCATGAACAGCATGTCCTGATGATGTGAATTGATGGTAACAACCATAATGGTGCTTTGGTCCTAGTTACAGTCTTAGATTGGTCCCATTCTTCCTTTTGGTGCACAGTATTTAAAAGAGCTGGAGTCCCCATCTTAGTCAGTCTTCTTCGCCGTCTTCCTGTAGTGCAGTACAGTTGCAAGCACCCACGTATTAAGAATCAGCATGACTATGAAGCGGACCAAAACTGGGGGGAAGAGTGAAAGAGAAGGTGTTACTATTATCTACCCACCATGTAATAACTATTTCTCTTCAACACACACACACAAAAATAATGAAATTGCCACACACATACCATTGCTGGGTAATAAAATATTACCTGTTACATCATTTGTCGTCATTAAAGTTGTAAATATTCTTGCTGGAATTGAAAGAGAAATTGTAAGTCTACTTAAGAAAACAAACAAACAAAAACCCCTAGTCAACGAGATAACTGGTTCACCCGACTGAAACATAACTTCACCAAAATTTTCAAGCTGAACCATTACTTCCCCTGATGAAAAATGTTATTTTTTTTCTAACAGTACCAAATTTTTCTCTTTGAGCTCCTCAGATGTTCAGGCCTTGATATGTGGATGTCTGTCTCGTTCAGGACAGGCTTTTCTATCAAACGTTTTTCTAAACAAACCTAGTCATCTTGGCTTAAGCTTAATCTTCTGCCTGGTTTATTTCTGTAGAGCAGTGGTTCCTAACCTTGGATAACCCAAGAGCTCTTGGATTGCAATTCCATCAGCTGTGCTATCTGGGGTTTCTAGGAGCTGCAGTTATTCAAGGTTGGGAACTGTAACAGGCAGCATTGTCCAACTGTCCGTCACAGTTGGACAATGGATCATCAGCCATTGGGGTGATGGAGGGTAGGGCTGAAGGGGGAGGAGCTGGAAGAAAAAGGGGTGTGAAGGGAGAGAAAGATTGAGATCTGGGGTGTGAAAGAGCTTTTTTAGAGGCCTCCATAATCACTGCAGATGGAGACAGCAGCCATGAAATTAAAAGACGCCTGCTTCTTGGGAGGAAAGCGATAACAAACCTTGACAGCATCTTAAAAAGCAGAGACATCACCTTGCCAACAAAAGTCCGAATAGTCAAAGCTATGGTTTTTCCTGTCGTGATGTATGGAAGTGAGAGCTGGACCATAAAGAAAGCTGACCGCCGAAGAATTGATGCTTTTGAATTGTGGTGCTGGAGGAGGCTCTTGAGAGTCCCCTGGACTGCAAGGAGAACAAACCTATCAATTCTAAAGGAAATCAACCCTGAGTGCTCACTGGAAGGACAGATCCTGAAGCTGAGGCTCCAATACTTTGGCCATCTCATGAGAAGAGAGGACTCCCTGGAAAAGACCTTAATGCTGTGAAAGTGTGAAGGCAAGAGGAGAAGGGGACGACAGAGGATGAGATGGTTGGACAGTGTCATCGAAGCAACCAACATGAATCTGACCCAACTCCGGGAGGCAGTGGAAGATAGGAGGGCCTGGCGTGCTCTGGTCCATGGGGTCACGAAGAGTTGGACACGACTTAACGACTAAACGAACGAACGTGCCTAAGTAGTCAGTGAGGGAAAGTCTGCGATTGATCAAATAAGAAACAGTGATTTACACCACGATTAGCTACTTGTGATTTACATATTTTATTTCGTGTACCAATAAACCTGTTTTGTTTTGAAGGAAACCTTTGTCCTTCTTAAATAGTCATTATAATTGGTGGCAGCGAGTGTGAAGTGGTGTGGTGGGCACTCTGAGAGGCCTGAGTTGGCAGTGACGTCAGAGTGGCCTGCTACCTTTACAGGAACCACTGGAGAAGAGAACAAGATGGCGTGTTTAGAAGCTCACAGGAACACCATGACTGCTATCTAAAGAGATCTCCTAGCGGAGCTTCACACTCTGCAACAACATTTACAACCATTTCTTGTACTCAAATATGCATCGGGAGACGGGAGTCTCAAATGAACAGTTTTCTTTAAACAGAAGGAGAGCAAGGAAAGAGAAAGAAGCTTGAGAGGTTGCTTACTTGCACAGGTATAGATGGCCAAACTCCAGGTTGTGGCACTCACTTGTCCAGAATCTTTTGTTTCCCAAAGATATTGGAGCTGAGCAAGTTTGCTTGCTGCACTAATGACAGTGCTCAAATTCTGGAGAGAAGCAAGAGGTAAAGCACAGCCGTTACGATAAATGCGAGCCTAGTCAATGGGGTAGGGTCAGGGTGCAGCAAGAGAGCCCGCATCCTGTATGTAGAAGACTCCAAGGCAGCACTCTGCACCCATGGAGCTGCAGAAGTAGACTTGTCCACAAGGGCACACATTAAATACAGCCATTAAACTTAAAGACGCCACAACTTCTTTGCCTTCGTTATTTTTTATTTCTCTTTTGGTTTTGCCTGATAGGCTAGCACAGCTACCTTCAAAAAATCGGAAGTTATACTTTAGGAAAGCTAACTGGAACCTGCGTAAGGTGCTCAATCTACATATGCAAGACTCCTAAAGATATTCTAAAACTGGATTGACCAAGGACATGCTCATTCATCACAGGCAGTTTTCTTCTTTGTTCTTTCCCCACCAACAATGGGTATATCATATCAAGAATAACAAGTGCTGCAGAAAAAATAAAGCAGTTAAGACAGAATACACAGAACCATCAGAGACCTGTCTCATTCAGAAAACAGGCTTTTGGTCAACGCCATCCATGAGAAAACTTGTTTCCTCCTTTTCATCAGGTGACATTTAAGAGTGTCTCAGACTTTTGCCAGCTATACGGCAGTCCCTGTTAACACAGGTGTTACTGACCAGATGGGTATGTATGGTCCAGCTATGCAACTGGATATTCAGGATGCTGCAGTCCAGAAAAGTATTTTTTTTCTATCCCTGAACCTTACTGCCAGTCATTGACAACTAGCTGTTAGAACCGCATTTACTTGATCCAACAAACAGATGGTAGCAATTTAAAGAGGGGCTTTGGGATATCTTTTATATTACTGTTTGCCGATGCTATATTTGGAAGGTAGAAGGCAACAGGGTTCAATCCCAGGTACTATGTCCTCTAACAATAAAGATTTCCTAACTAATCCCAAATTGTGTGGCCTACTGAAAGTTATTTTAGTACTAAGTGAATAACACTTGAATACATGCACCGGGCAGGGGTTAGATACATTATTCTTACCCAGGGAATATGGATATGTTTCCTTCCAACATCTAAAAGGCTGAATGTTCTCCACTTCTGTCCTCACTCTGACCTTCCTAAGGCTCATTTAAAAAACTGGCCCTCATGCTTTGCTCCTTAGTAATCACAGGAAGCGCACCAAACAAAAATCTAGATTTGTAATGTGGCACAGTGGCCAAAATCCTACTGATTTACACTTGTGTAAAAGAAACTGCCTAAATCTAAATCTGAACTGCTACTCAATAACAAGGTGCTGTTGCATTTCTGGGTGAATGCCCAAGCGTGCATACAGGTGTGTGACCAGGCATACAAGCAAAACTTTGTTAATAAAAGCAGCCATCTGTTGCCAAGACTTCTACGATGTCGTCGTTAAGTCGTGTCTGACTCTTCGTGACCCCATGGACCCGAGCAGGCCAAGCCCTCCTGTCTTCCACTGCCTCCCGTAGTTCTGTCAATTTCATGTTGGGAGCTTCGATGACACTGTCCAACCATCTCATCCTCTGTCGTCCCCCTTCTACTCTTGCTGTCTACGATGTCAGTCTACACCTAATCCTGGAGAACTAGGTGATTTTAGATAAGACTAAACTACACTGGCCTAGGCAACTATGTTAGCATCAAAGGGACTGTACCCTACTGGTGGTGTCAGACTAATGTTCTGGTATCCTAAAAGGGAGCCTTCACTATTGGGAAGTAACAGAGTCATCCTGCATCTTCACATAATAAGTTCATCTGTTTCTGACAGGCAAAGGCTGAACATCTAAGGATTATTAAATGCAATTTTTATCCTTACTTCACACATTTTGCACCTTCTATGTGTTTCAGAATACTGTGAATTACATGAGTTTAATTTGTAACAAAGCAAGCAGATACCAAGATAAATCAATCTTGTTCTGCAGATGAGTATTGATTGCCATTGATTGCCAAGGAGGAAGAAAATACCCAGACTTACTCCCAAACTCAATAGCATCTCTGAGACCTATTACACTCTGCTTTTCCCATAGTCTTTTGAGCATCAAGCATGAAGCCTTTTTTTAAAAAATTTTTTGGCATACACAGCTAATGGGCTAAGTAAGTCCATCTTACGCAATTTTCCAAATTAGGACACAGAGCAGGGATGGGGAATGTGCAACCCTCCAGATGTTGCTCGGCAATGACTTTCATCAGTCCCAGCATAGCCAATGGTGAGAGGTGACTTGGAATTTCAGTTCAACAACATCTGGAGGGCCACATATCCCTTTACCTTGTTTCAAAGCCTTTTCTGCAACACTATACTGTGATGCATCTTAATACAGAAGGATAACAGAAGCAATCAACTTCTGGCTTTTTATGTCTCCTTTAGCATACAGTGAATGGTGGCCTTCCAGGAATACTAAATAAGAGTGATTAGGCACAATTCTTTCCTCCATCCACTTACCATAGATAGGTCCAATAGCCATTTCTCCAGAGATAACAAGTACCATCCTGCTACAAATCTAATCTTCCAAGTTAAGTTACATACAGTAATGCTGATGGCAATTAGGTGAACATTGGGGCCTATATCCAATTGCTTGTCCCAACTAGAGCAGTACAGTTAATGCTTAATAATTCATTAACACTCACGTATATTCCACTGATCTGAAGAAATCTACTCCAGCTGCAACTTGTTATTTCTGGCATATTCTGTTTCTTATTTATTAAAGTTATTTATATCCTGCCTTTCTGGTTTAAAAACTGGGAATGTTTAAAGAATAAATTTACAGCAAGTAATGAGAAACTAAAATATAGGTCAAATGAAAGCAGCCAATAAGATTACTACAAACCATCTTTAAAGGAGGGAAGTAAATATAGAGATATGCAATCAACAGACCAAAGATCTGTTGAAAATATATTTTATGCATGTACATACTCATTTGGCAGCCAGGGAAAAAAAGGTATAGCATGGCTCTTCCATGGCAGAGCTTTCCATGAACATCATAACTGGAATGGGAAAAGCTTTACATGTTCTTGTCACTCATAACTCAGATAGGGATTAAGATTTAAAACCAAGTCCACTGAAGACATCAGAATCTCACAATGATCAACCTTGGTCCTAAGTTGTTTAGGGCTTTGAAAACAACAATCCACACTTCAAATGAGGTTTTGAAATGAACTAGCAGCCAATGCAACTGATGCATCAAATAAGTAATGTGGATCCAGATTTTCATTCCAGCTGCAGTTTGGTAGATAGTTTTCAGAAGCAACCATATGCAAGATGCTCTAAAGTAAATACAGTCTCAGTGTAACGTTCAACCATGCACACATACAGTACATATATTTTCACCAAAACAGAGTTAGCTGGTATACCAACCAAAGTTTGGCAAAAGACTGAAGGGTTCTATCTCCATCCTGATAATCTTATAGCAGTGCAACATCTGTTGCCAACAGCCAATTGTATCTGGTAGGCACAAGCTCAGCATCTGATTGATAGCATGGGTATAGAACTCTGATTCATCTGCATGTCATTAATACTGAACCCCAACCACTAGAAGACCTGTACAAGCATTTAACGTAGTTGAGGGTACAAGAGTAGTCAAAATGAAAAATATCAAATGGCACACAGATAAGCAAAAATCCTGCAGCAGCAGCACCATCTAGGACCAGCCCCTCACGAAGAGTCACTAACACCATGAAACAAACTTTTACCAAGCTATTAACGCAGCTGATCCAGAAGAACACCACAATCAATTCCATCAATAGCTACGGAGATGTACAGTCAAAGCAATGGATATATACCTCCTAGTCAGTTTCCAGTACAGATCATGCACTTGATGATCCAAAACTTGGACAAAAACCACTGAACTGGATCTAGATTCTAGATCATCATCATTACCAACGAATTCCTAGAGACAGAGGGCCACCATCCACGCAAACCATGTCCAAGAACAAATTACAGTGGTGCCCCGCTTGACAACGATAATCCATTCCAGGAAAATTGCTGTTAAGTGAAATTGTCGTCAAGCAAAAAACCAAAAAAAAACACACACACAAAAAAAACAATGGAATGCATTGAAAACCAGCTAATGCATTCCAATGGGGAAATACCTCATTGTCCAGCAAAGATCGCCCATAGAGAACCGCCGATCAGCTGTTTAAAATCACTGTCTTCTGAAGCTTCTGTCTGAAAAACAGCCATTTTGCGAAGGGAAGCCATTTTGCAGAACCAGAAAAAACATCGTTTTGCGAACAAATGGTTCATGACGCAAGCACCTAATCGACACAAAGCGAAAAAACCCCATAGGAACCATCGTTTTGCATCCAACAGACTGGATGCCAAAACTCGTCCTCAAGCGATTTCATCGTCAAGTGGGGTCATCGTCAAGCGGGGCACCACTGTATTAGAAACCGACCAGCAATTTCCCCAAACAGCAGGGCTGACCAATGCTTTCTTCAACAACAGCTTTATCACTCTACTTGCAAGCAGGCCAGCTTCTCTCCTCCCCGTAAAGAGATATTTACCACCCATCTGACTTTCACTCACCCTGAACTCACCAGGCTGCCTTTAATTCCTAAGCTGCAGGTATAACACTTTAATATAGTGGAAGATATTTGGACAAGAAAATGCGTACATCATATTAGAAATGTATACTGGGGGGAAAGCTGCTTAATTGCAGAAGATGTACATAAAAATAGCTAGAAATGCTGAATATATGGCGCTGAACAACAAATTAAAGGATACATCGCGGTGTAAGGCAAAGCATGCATCATTTTGCCACTGTAATGCAGAACAAAAAGCAAAAGAATGATATCTGAAACAAATAAACAAGAGATAATTACAACATGACTGGGGAAAAAACAATACATGAGGCAATAATGGAAGGGGAAGCAGTGTACTACCTTGCACAATGATGATGGGATATTCTATGTATGTTGGTAGAGGATAATTGTAGTAATTCATGTACCGCAGGCAAATAAAAAAGCTGAAAGGAAAGGCATAACTTCAATCACAATCTTATGCATGCTTGGAAGAATATGAGCTCTGCTTCAGATCAATGCACCCTAACAGACATGACAACCCCTGTCTAGTGAACAATGATTTATCAGACTAGGAACAAACTATGCTCCTGTGTGCCCCTTCCACATCCCTAGTTTCTTAAACCACAGTTTATTGTATCACTCAAGCTGCAAATTGTAGCATAAGCACAAATCAGGCTCTGCTATTCTCTGGTGTGAGAAAGGGTCATTTATAGAAAAGGAGCCCGTGGGAGTAGAAGGCTGCAGAACGGAAACCCAACCAGGCTGGGGTTACTACTCCTGGAATCTAACCTAATCTAAACAGAGGAAGAAACGTACTTCGTTGTCACTTCAATGCCACAACCCTCTAATACCTCACAGGGCTGACATCTCAAATAACACCACCCACAGCTGGGTGTGAACTATCTGCACAGGCTACACAATGGGATACTTTTTTGGCTCTGAATTATGCCCAAAACACCTGTGGCCCTAGAGCTGTGCCAAAAGAGTGGAGCTGCTCTAAAAAATTGCAGAATGGATCGCTCCAAGTCAAAATGTGTGGATGCCAAACAGCACCAAAAGCAATCCCAATACAGTGGACCCTCGACTTACAGACGGCTTGACTTACAGACTTTTCGAGTTACAGACTTCTCTGGCTGCAAAATTTAGATTCGACTTGCAGCCGGAGAATCGACTTACAGACCAGAAAAAACCCAAAATGGAACAAAAATAGAATAAAAACCGCTGGTTATGGGATTAATCGGTTTTCAATGCATTGTAGGTCAATGGAGATTCGACCTACAGACTTTTCGACTTGCAGCCACCATTCCAATACAGATTAATTCCTTAAGTAGAGGGTCCACTGTAGTGAGCTATATGGCCACCTGAACCCACCTTAAACCTCAAGCCGCGATCCACAAGCATGGGACTTTCTGTGATGTTTAGTTTTGGGTTGTTTTTGTTGTTGTTTTTTGGGCAGCCCCAGCACCTTAGGGGCTTGCTCTGTTTATTTTTGGGATTAATCGTGTTCTCATGTATTCCTATGGGAAATGGTGCTTCGATTTACGGCCATTTCGAGTTATGTCCATCTTCTGGAACGGATTATGGTCGTAAGTCGAGGCACCACTGTAATTCAGTAGAGTCTGCTTCTGAGGAAAGATCTTTAAGACAACATTACACATCATTTGTCTGTCACAACCGCTTTCATTCAAGAGCACACAGGCCCATTTCCATTTATAGATTTCTAAACCTGCTCCTAATCTGGATTCCCTAACAGCAATGTTGGTTAACAAACTCTGCCTATTTCAAATGATGGCTTGTTAGATTCAAGTCCAAAACCTTGACTTGTCTGTGGCTTGTTTTTCCAGCTGTGCAACTGAGAATAAAAGGGCAGCAGGAGAGAAACAAGAGCAAAAATGGAAGAGGGGGAGGGATCTGTATGTTGTTTTAGTGTCTGAGGGACAAATCAGGGCTTAGGTAATATAAACCATGGTTATCTGCAGGAGCCGGCAAGTGTGGACCTCTGGAGGTTTTTGACATACAACTCCCATCAGTCCTAGCCAGCACAGTTCAGCTCTCTTCCAATTTAGAGAACATCACCCACAGGATCACATGGCGTCCACTGTGCATGTGACCAAGCCAAGGGTTTCTGAAGTATCTGCAAAGCAGAGAGGGGAAGTGAAAGAAGACTGCTTGCCAGTTACACTCGGTCTATTACAACCAACAGACACAGGCCTACAGAAACAGTCAGCCTGCCTCTTTTCTAAAAGCAAACATAGCAGCGCATATGTGTATAAGACTCCAGTAACAGAGGGTCCCTCAATCAAAAAAGAAAAGTACAACTCATTCATCAGCCACACAAGGCCTTGTAAAGGTCCAGGAGCATGCACTGGCTACCTAGCAAAACATCCTGTTTCCCCAGAACACGGTCTTTGATTTTATTCATGATACACCTTTGATCAAGGTTTTATTTTTCATTTGAATGTTGTTCCTGTGGGCTGTCCTGGCCACTTGTTTTTTTTTTGGCACAACAGTTGCCAAGTGCCGGGCACAGAGTGGCTGAGGGCATCATCTGGCGCGCAAAGGGCTGTGCCAAGGCTTTCCCTGGATCAGCCCCTTCAACCACTGAGACTCCCCTGGTGTGCCTAAACATCCAACAGGATTGTGGCCATGGGTTCTCCAGCTCAGCTGCTCCACAGGGTTGTTAGTATATGGGGATGAAGGGAGAAGAGGAGGAGGCGGAGAGGGAGGCTTGAGCTCAGTGGGGGGGAAAAACAAGATATATAAATTATAGAGAGATTGAGATCTGAGAATACGAAATACCCACAGC